CGAACAACGAAGTAGTTAGTTTAGTTACGTAAACTACTAAACCAAACCTAACGGTTTTACGGTTAGTTAGTCTCGTCACTACCCCCCCCTACCCCCCCACCCCACCACACACACACACACACACACACACACACACACACACACTGATGATTAAAGATAGAATTTGATAGGGCTTTTGAGCTATGTCAGTCAGTTTCTACAGCTGGGAGTACAGATTTGCATTGATATAAAATTACATAATTTATGTTGTGATACCTTCCAATCCAACAGCAGTTAAGTGTTAAATTATATATACATTTGTATTTGTAAATAACCACTAAGTATTAATACTGTTGTTTCAGAAATTGGAAATGATTTAATGTTATATTAACTTATTATATTTTTATTTGTTACTATGGCCCTTAAGTGGTGGCATCTACATATATTTTTCAACCTCGGATGCTAAAAATAACTATATGTATGAGAAAAAGTAATGGTAAAACTATAGCCTGTGCTATCAAAACTTAGACTTTACCAAGGCTGGATACACCTTTTAGGTGTTAAGTGTACACCTATATATCAGATTTCAAAACTTTAACTAAAATCAAAAATATTTTAGAATTGGTATTTTGTAACATTTATTTAGTGTAATTAGCAACTAAAAATGGAAAACTATTCAAACTGTTATTTCTGCTAAGCGCTGAAAAGACTTGCTTGTAAACAACATTTATTGCTTTAAAAAAAAAATTCTACTGATAGAACATCTTAGGACAAAATTTTTGAAATTTCACAACCTAAAAATAATAATGGATATTAAATGAAATAATATGAATATTTTGGAAGCAGAACCAAAATATTCTTTAGTAACTTTGTTATAAGTTTCATCAAATTTGGTTAAGTATTCTAACTCTGAAGTGGAAAAAGATTGATATATCCTTTATCCAGAAATGGTTAATCCTCTCTTATTAGTCTTTTTGATTTATTTTTTAATTATTATTTTTCTATTTATTTATTATTTTTTATTAAATATAATCTTGTCAATAAATTCATCTCAGTAGATTAATATTTTCTCATTTTATGGATAGTTTATGGTATGAGACATATTGTTTTCTTTTGTTTCACAGCAGGTAGTCGGTATGGGCAGAAATGTGAATATACAGAACAGTGTACCTATTACGACCTAAATTCTTATTGCACACAACTGCCTTACAGAAGTAATTGTGAATGTCACATAGACTTCTTTTATGACCCAGATAAGAAATTGTGTTTAAAGTGTAAGTGGAATTTGGCTTAATTAATGGATCATTTCAAATTAAGTTAATAATTAAAACTTGGACATACAGTATGTGTTACTTTAACTTGCATAGATTTACATAATGTTTCTTACTGTATACATTTACAGTAGTTTTTTCTTTCCATTTACTTTCTACCAAATTTTGAGGCCTGGCTGCTACATACATACTGACCTTGGGTAGTGTGGTTCTTCTTGCATGAAATGTGTTTTTGTGTGTAGAATCCAACTCTGTACTTAACTATTAAAAATGTATGAAATTGCTATAATTTGCTTTTGCTTTCAAATTATTAAAATTCTACTGGCACTGAAATTTTGAAAAATTTGTAGCTTATTTATTAACAACAGACTAATTCATTGTTAGCTTGATATACAAACGTGTGACTAAATTACCAACTTGTAAATCAAAATTATCCAGTTGTTTGTAATATTTTTTGATCAGTATGATTATTTTTCAATTGTGTTTACTTTTTAATGAAAATTTTAATTTATATGAGATGAAACAGCTGTGTTTTGGCATAACCTAGTTGTCAAAGTAATGGTTTCACTTCTCCTGGGTTGGACAACCATTACTATTGAGCACTGGTTGTATTGGGTCAAAACAACTTACATTATCTGAACATATATAGATATCTGAATGAGTGTATCATGTCATACATTCATTTAAAATTTAACATGCACAGACAACTATTAATTTTACAGATATTAAAGAAATGTAATATTAAGGACTTTTATTTTGATATATTTGTCACTTGGTTATTAGGTAGTTCCAACTGACCTGGAGTCAACACCTGCATGAAATACATACTCAAAACAACAGTTGAATAATCATAGACTCTCAAAAAATTGAAACACATTTTGAGTAAATAGGACTTGTGTCAGTTTTGTAAGAAAAATTGCACATACAGTTAAGTGTTATTTTCTTTGGTTTTGATGAAATTACAAAACTAAATAAAGTTATTTATTATTCTACAAGATAATCATGCTAACCATAAAGTTGTACAGTTTCCTCGTTCAACATTTCAGCATTGTTAGTAATTTTGTACTTAGCCATAAATAATAAATAGTGAACTTGAGGGAATAATTGAACTAGTAGTGAGTACTTTTTGATCGAAAAGATGTAATTTCACCGTATAGTTACACAATTTATGTATGTATTTTTGTTTCAGCGTGTCTTCCTCTTGGTTAATATGCTGTGGTTTAGTTGCTACAGTGTAAGGATTTTGTGGTTTTTGTCACATGCAAGGGTGACAATATAGATATGGACCTAATTAAATGCGTTTTTTTTAATAGTACTAATACTTTTCCAGTTTCCTGTATAATATTCAGACCACATCAATTGGTTTGCATTCTCTTTCATTGAACAAAACCATAATACAGTTTGAAACCAATTAGTTAATAAAAAATGGGATTTTTTTAATGTCCATTTACTACATATAAATAACTTTATGAATTTTATAAGAATATTTTAAATCCCCCCACATGATTTGCTTATCATAAAATACTATTGTTACTGATCAGTATGTGATATCATATTGGAAGCTTCAATGACGTTGTTTATCTAAACTGTTTGTATAACACTGAGAAGATAATTGTATATTTGAACCTATTTACAGTGTAGTCTGAATGTTAAATAATATCTTCATTTTCTTTAGTTCCAGAACATGGGGACCACAATCAAAAGTTGATGCTTCCAACTGCTGTTGGTATTTCATTAGCACTTGCAAGTGTCTTATGTTGTTGCTTGGCTCTTGTTCACATGTATCGAAGGTGAGAAATTTAAACACACGTATCAACTCTTTCAGCATGGGCTTGGTTCCTAGGACCAACCTAAAAATCTTTTTGTGCTTGTTATAGTTTTCATGGTATAACTTTTAAATTAGTAAATGTATGTTAATGAAATTTGGCAGATTATCAGTAAACATTACAATGCTTTCATACGCAAGCTATCATTTTTTTTTATTTTAAGTTCTTAAGGTTT